TTTTTTCTTTTTTATTTTTATTTTTATTCTCCTCTTCCTCTTTCTCGGCCCGTAACTTCTTCATCTTATTCACTGTTAATAAAAGCAGACTAGAGTCCTACGTCGGACACTGGGTTATTTGAGGATTGCTTGACCCTGGACACCCTGAAAAAAGCTGTATAAAACATTCAGAATGAAAAACGGATATCCAATTGTAATTTCGCTGAAAATCTCAAGAGTTTTCTCCTTCATACACTCTTATTTTTTTTCCCCACTAGGTTTCGGTCTCTAACGAGTGCTCTGTAACACCCTCCGCCTCACAATCTGACTGTCTCTATTCCCACCGCCCCAATGACCATAGAGATTCCTCATGAAAGAAATCTATGAAGATGTCACTTTACCTGATTTCTTTCTTTCATTTTTATTCTCATGACAATCAACCGGCTTTTTCTTTCTTCTGCTTCTTCTTTACCAACTCAAACTTGTGCGATGTTTCTGCATGAACAAACACGACAAACTATACAACTTCAGATAACAACACGTCAATAATTCTCCATCCAATAGTCAGTATTAATAATTTTTTAATTTTTCATTTTTTTTCATCTGATCAAATAATTTTTATGAAAATCTGCTCTATAATATTCTTCATATTTTTACACGGAGAAAATTTTATAGTAGAGTTTATTATCTAGTTATGTTAAAATCTATTAACTGAATTTAATAGTAGTAAATATTATTTAAATAATTAAGTAAATCATCTGAATTGTAGTATTTATCATCCTGATGGTAACTACTACTATTATGATGGTAATCAGTAATAATAACTGTTATTATTTCAATTAGTTACTACTATTATCAAAATCGTAATTCCTTATATAACCTGATGGTTGCAGTTACCATCAGTAATAATAATAGCTACTATCTAAGCTAGTAAAAAATATTTAAAAAATTAAGAATCTGCGTTACCGTGGATGCATTTCTGAATAAACTAAAAGCTGCTGTAGTGCAGTGTAGTGCACAAAAAATCGGGATTCAATTCGGATTGAATTTATATTTGTCTAAAACAAGTTTCAACGTCAAATTTTTCAAAAAAAATTTGAAATTTCTAAAAAAAAAACAAAAATTTCAATAAAATTCAAATTAACAAAAAAAAATTAAAATTTCAAAAAAAAAATTTTAAATCTTCAAAAAAATCAAATTTCCAAAAACAAAATTTTGACAGGAATTTAAATTATTTTAATATTTCAAAGAAAAAAATGTACATTAGCTAAAATTAGATGTAAATAAAGGATTTAATTAAGTAAACTTATATTATTTTTTCTTTCAGAATTTTTACAACCTCAGATGGTTACAGTTACCATCTTCGATTGTAACAGTTGTAATTTATAATAATTACAATTATTATTTTCGATAGTAATCGTTACCATTATTAATAGTAACTATTGCAATTGTCAATGATACCACCTATTATTTTGTTACTAATTAATTTTATTACCATTTTAGATAGTAGGAGTTACTATTTTTGTATAGTAGGTAGTATAATTAATTTTTCTTCGTGTATTTGTGCGAAGTTCAAAATAGCAAGAGCTTCCCAGCCATTGTCTGAAAAATCGATAGTTTATCAAATATAATTAATTTCATTCATTTATACACTCAATTTTTCCGATGTTGCAATTCATGTTAATTTATTAATTAAAACTCAACATAACATCTTGACCATTGCATTTATTATTAATAATTGTTATCGCGAAATTTTCTCATGCTGATTACCTAATCGATATCACAGCTACTCTAAGTGGTAATATTTGTCAATCAAAACTAGCTTCACTGATTAAAAAAATTCTCTTAATTGCCTGTCACTACAGTTGGGAGTTTTTTCTTTACTAATTAGTGTTATTTTATTAATAAAACAATAATTACCGTCTGTGATTTTTTTCCTTAAAACACAGTAGAATATGGCTACGATGAAATCTTCAAGCAGCCATTAAATAAAGGCCAGACTCGGAGACGGCAAACTTTGTAGAGGGAAGCACTTGATTATTTTACTATTATACTGAAGTTAGCTGATAGCTGTCAATTTTTTTAATTTTTATACAAATTATAATGAAAAAAAAGCTTATAAAAATTTCTATTAAAAAATTATTTATAAAAAATTGCTTTTTTAATTTTTTAAAATTTCTACATGTCAATTTTTTTTCTAATTTTTTTAGTAATTAACTCAGTTTCAACCTTAAATCATTGACACATAACAAGACAGATACATTCATAACAATCACAAGTAAGGTTAGGCTTGTAAACATAAGTAATAGAGTGAGCGCGACTACCGACTTTCGGACTTTCTGCCGCCTCGTGTCTCGTTGTCAGTGCATGAATACATTTTTTCGGCTCCCCGTTGTAAAGCGCATGCGCGACTCGACCACGGCATAAATGTCAGGCTTTCTGCAGTGAAATCGCAACAAAAACCCCGTACTTTCGACCAGCGTAGTAAGAAAAATACTATTTCGTACACGCACTAATATCTGAAACTGCCGGGACTGTCACCGTTTATATACTATAGTCATTCAATGCTGTCATTTTTTGTCTTTACATATAATCTCAAATCCTTCATCAAAAAAGTAAATATGATAATTTAAATAAAACAGCTTCTTTGAAAACATTAATTCCACTAAAACGCTCATTAAAAAAATTAAGTAAACGATTGACCCTATTAAAGGCCATCTCCGCAACTTCCCGCTAATTCCATGCCTAAACGCTTAAAATTGTAAATTGCATTTATGATGTTTTTTTTTAATCTGTCAAAATCGAACAGATATCAATAATTTCCTATTTTTTAAAACTGTTAATTTTCCTTAAGTGAGAAATTATAAAATTTCCAATTGCCAGCCAATTTTATAATAGAATTTTGCAATTGTCTGACAATTATTAAAATTTCAGGACCGAAAATATAAAAAATAACTTTATTAAATGAGATAAAAAAATTTTTTACTGCGTATGACACTAGAAAATAAGCACAACAATGACAATAAAAGTAAAAGTAACGATAGACGATAAGAAAATGTGAGCTGAAGATAAGAAGAAAGACAAGCTACAGTATTTCTCGGCCTTAGCCTCAGGTAGAGCGAGCTCTCCTCGAACAAAACCAGCATAAAAATAAAAGACAAAAAAAAAAGAGCGTAGCTTGCAATGAAGACGATCAACATCAGTAAAAATGGTCGTCATGGGGTCAGACATTCACATTTCCTTCCTCTATGGCATGGCATATACAATGACATGCGCTAGGCAATGCGGAAAACCCAAGATATTCAACGCGAGCAGGGACTAAGAGATTGTGCGCGTTTATACGCTCCCGACCTTAAACTCTGGTTTTACGACAATGCAAATTTTTACGTTACTCTCATTTTATGCCAGCCGGATGGAGGAAGCATGTAGGTAGATAAAGAGAAGGAAGGGAAAAAATAAAAAAATAAAAAAACCACCAGAGATTTTCAAGTAAAAGTCGGAAGATGAAAGAAAATGTTTCAAAGTGGGATAATGCGTGCAGAAGATAGTAAAGACCCTATACTGCAACGAGTCAGTCTCATAAGACAGGGGGATTTTCTCAGTGTCTATCTATCTCTATATTTATCAACATTATTACACCGCGCCAGGATTTTTAGAAAACAATATTTCATAGTCGGGTCACGTCGTTTTTATGCAGACTATGGGCTTTTGGTTTCGCTTGAGCCAAGCGATGACAGATTCTATAAAACACTTGGATCCAATAAATTTATTGCTTGCGTGTGTGAAAATATGCATATTTTTCAATAAAAAAAAGTTCTTTTTATTCCCGATATATTTGTATGATAAATTTTTTATCTTTTTATTGATAATTAGGATTCGTGAAAAGTTTTAAAGTCATGACGAGAAAAGTGAACAAGTTGTCGAAAAAAATCAAATGGGAGACAGAGTAGGATGATCATGACTCGCTTATAATTGAAGATATCGAAAAACTGCTTGATAAGTCTGTCAAACTAGGATTTATCGGAAGCAGTAACTTCAATTAAGAGATATCATGAAACAAATTGATTGATTTGGAAGAACTTTGATGCCGCAAAAACTCTTCATTAAAAGTTAGACGGGTAAACTGTGGGATCAATCAAACTAGTAATTGACATGTTAGTTGGATAATGGAGCACTGACATAGTTAAATTGATGTAAATTTAGTCAGTTTGTAAATACACTCACACTTGTAGAACTTTGAATGAGGAGCAGGAAAATTTATCGCGGATGGAAATTACTTTTAGGTGCTGAATAGACCTTTGTTGATTAAGCTTACTCAAAAAAGAGCTAAATACAACGTACTTGTAAAATAATTTTCTGATTTAGTTTGATATAGATATAAATAACTTTGACATTGAAAATGAATTAAATTAAATATACCTATGTTTAAAGACGTAATAAAGAGACACTCCAAACTTTCGCAGCAGAACCTATTAATAACTCAAACCTCGTTGATTGCAAATCCTCAGTAAGACGAAATAAATTACCATTCCCTTTCGCTGAACCAATAAATACGCAATAACTCGAATTATTTAGACTCCGTTTCTCGAAAAAAATTTTAAGCGTCGTCAAGCTCTAGCAGTAGCAAAACCCATTTTGGACGGATATTATTATTGATTTCTCAGAATTTAAACAAGCAAAAAAATTCTAAATGGAGCAACTAATTAGCAACAAATTTAGTATCACAAGTAAATTTTGTTGCTTGAATAATAAGTCAATGAATGATGGACGAGTCTATGCTAGCTTGATAAACCTAAAATTTTATTTCCTAAGGGATGTTTATAGTATATGCTTGTATTCTATGACCCGAAATTTACAAGGAAGACTCGATAAATCGAAAATATTTGAGTGATGATATGATTTCAAACCCTGGGCATTTCTTTGCTTAATTCACGGAATTAATTTTCAGTAGAATAAATCTTTAAAGAAATTTACTTGCAAAGTAGTTTTGTATTTAGTTGGCTCTTAACTTTTATTACAAGATGAGCCAATTAGGCACTACGAATTATTCAAATGTATTACTTGATAATGAAAACAATGGAAATTTTTCAGAATGTATGTGATCATAATTCTTACAATAAATATAAAGCCCCTCATCGAATAATTATGAGAAAGAAATGGAGCTATAACTCTATTTAGTTTACAAGAACAAGCTATGATTGACTTACGTTTTTAAGAGAGCTTTTTCCCTAACAATATAATTTGAAAATCTCAAAAATTACGCTACACAAAAATCTATAGATTATTTAGATTGATTCGAGTCTGCAAGGTCAGAAATCACTGACATTTGTAAGTTTTTAATTATAGTTAGAAGAAACAATTTATATCCAAAAAAGGATTTTTTAAAAAGAACAATTTAATATATTCATTTTTTGACTTGAATCAACAAAAATTATTTTAGTCAATTAAATGATTTTTTTCAGACAATAAAGAACATTTCCCAAAATTTCCGGAAGATACATTCTTGTGCCAAAAACATTTATTCTTAATAGAAGTATTTTTCTTGCAGTGTATAAAAACATTGCTTTTGTATGTAGGTAATGATGTTATTAAAAGAACATTAAAAGATAAGCTATTATTATTCTGCTCTTTTAATTGAAATCTTATCTCACGTTAGTTTTCTAGTTTAATCAACTACTAAATAAATTATAATAAAATTAAATTATTTCATATTTAACTAGTATGACGTCACTCGAGCCGTGATTCCAGTCTTTAATTTCACCGATGAGAGATTTATTCTTATCAGATATTCAATGGTAGTGTATTTAATTGCGGTATTACTTAAAAGTTTAAATAAGAAAGAGGAAAACAAGAGTAGAATAAGTCTAAAAAGTAAAAACGATAGGATTGTGATAAAAACGAGATCTAAATCCCCATGGAGAGCTTACCAGGAAATTGTTCCGACTGCAAATTGCTATCGATATCCTCTATTTTTTCCTTTTCTTAAACTCTCGCGACGCGAAAAAAGTTTATTGCGCTGTCTCTCGTTTTGCTTTAGGATCTTATCTCCCACTAAAAGCAATTATACCTATAAACCACACACCGACATTAACAGTGATTTTACAAATGATATCGATTGGTACTAAAATAACAAACCTCGTTACTTTGTTGTTCCGGGTTACGTAACTGATCTTTATAATGATCTTATCGTCTCAAAATACTGAATTTAACAATAAATTTATTAATATTTTTTGGTTATTTTTGCAGGTCTTTCTCTCGGTGGCGGTTTGATAGTTCTGGCATCAGCACTTTCAGACGCTTCCTACGAATCGCCTACAAGATACAGCTTTTCATCAACATCCGGCTCTACGGAGGATAATGGACTTCCGAAGTATCAATACGGCTGGTGTTTACAGCTTTCAGGACTTGCTTTAATACTAGCTGAAATTGCAGCTCTTCTAACCGTCTCAGGATACATGGCACGCTTTCCGACCGTCGAAGAAATGGTATGTATACCTTTCAAAGTCTTATTGAGTTCAACAGAAAGATGATGAAAAAAGCGGATTTTAAGAAAGTACAAGCGGAGTACTAGAATGAGGATATATAAGAAGTGTGTGTCCTTTGAAATCAGTTACCAAAGGATTTTTCGTAATATATAGACATATATTTCGTATTGACTAATGGCTACATGTATTTTTACTTGATTAATAGTACAGATTCAGAGCATTTGATGATATTAAGTAATAATTGATAAAAAAAAAATATCAAAAATAATTTCTGTCTCCTTTTCTCTAATACAACGTTACATGAGTAAGTCTCTACGTAAATCAAAAGAGACTTTCTATTGAACTTCTCAAAGCGCGAAGCTCGTGAGGTTGTGTTTTACACCCGACTCGTCAAGGTTAAGCAATTTTGAAATCTTCAAATACCTCTGTCACAATCATATTGCACTTATTATACAATA